TGGAAATGAAACAATAGGGGCGTGTTTTTGGCAATAAAAAACCTTTGTTTGAGAAACAGTTAAAATCTCTTAAGCTAATCAGACATAAAGCTGATACGAGAATTTCTTACATACAGTTTTTCCGGATAAAATCTCCCCAAAATGCTTTAGTTGTTCTGGTGGGGAAGCAGTGTCGATCTCAGCTCCCAATATCACAGTTGGAATCTTGACATCTGCAACAACTTGCTGTCAATCCTACATATATTTTTGGTCAACTTCTGTATTATGGGAAACTTACCATTTATATCTTCAACTGTAAGGCGGCCAGGATGCAATACAACCGCAGCCATAATGTCATCAGACTGCTAATTTTGTGACTACCACACCTGAGACAAATTCAATAAACTCAAATTCAGAAGCCAAGTCCATCACATTAGGTCCTCAGAATGCAATTACATATGCAGCTTATCCTGCAGCAGTCAAAAAAGAAGAGAAAGTGTCTTACCACCCCAGCAAAAGCCTGCAGTTCCTATACAAGACACTGCTTTGCTTCTCAAAGCAGCAACTACTGTCTTAGCATCTTCAAATCCTTTGTCCTGATGGGAGAAGAAATTCATATTGAATCCAAAGAGTCCCCCCCCTCCCCCCCAAAAAAAAAGAAAGAAAGAAAGAACGCAGGCTTATTTCTTTCTGAATTTGTTATGAAGACATGCGACACATTTATTTGGTGTTTCTTTGCGCAGAAATTATACGTGTTTACTGTTTACCTATTGCAAATATTTACAACGACGTCATTAAAGGCCTGAAATGAACATAATTTGGTCCTAATAAGTCACCCTGGGGATGGTTTTGTTTCACATCACCAACTTCCATTTCATATGCAATAATCCCACATGATATGTCATGGATGATGAATGGATCCTGAAACTTTCGGAATCTTTTGATTTTGGCACGGTGGATAATCTTCCAGTGTTCTTAATCAATACAAATTACAAGGTCACCATTTGATTTGGACAATAGAGTTTTAACAAAATCAATGAATTGGCAACTAACCATGCTATGAGCCTTTCTCCATGAATCTCGATCCAGATGAGGGTTATTGAAATCAAAAGGTTCACCATAAAAGAAATCAGGGGCAACCACCAAGAATCCAGCAGCCGCAACTTTGTCTGCAAGCTTCCTTTATGGTAATAAAAGGCAATTACGAATAAATAATATTTACATGCAAAAACAAAGTTAGGCAGTAAAAATTTGGTGAGGAAAAATTGTGCATGTCATTTCTGTATTACAAAGGTATTTATATACAAACTACATACAATTGGCTGCCCATGTCTTGCCTTAGACAAAGCCTTTGAGGCTGCCTTAATCAAAGCAAATCATACAATTGGTTTCCTATAATAGAAGATTCTGCAGCTGTTCACAGACACAATAATGGAAACATCTTAATACTCCCCCTCAAGTTGGAGAGTGAAGGCAATGAACTCCCAACTTGCTAAGTAGATGAAGAAATTGGGCTTTTCCAAGGGGTTTGGTGAAGAGATCAGCCAACTGCTGCGTAGTAGGAAGATAACGAGTTCAAAGAAGACCGGATTGGATATTGTCTCGAACAAAATGACAATCAATCTTTGTGGACCAGGAAGGGCCATCTAGACTGGACAAGGCAAACCCAACTTGTTATGACGCTGATAAAATGCTCACAAGCTCCAGGCTCTTCGCATTCACATGGTGAAATTTTTTCTATTCATGCTTATAAGCATCTGCCTAGTGTCGCCAATATTGAAGGCTGGACATCAATAATGACTTTCATGGAGCAATATTGTCAGGGCAACAATATCAACATTTCATCAAGAAACCGAAAACAAGAAACTACTACCACAACCTCCAAACTCCATCATAAAATTTTCATAAACTAACAGATCTAAGAGTTGGAAGCCAACCACCATAGCATATTAGCATAGACTTGAATTTGTAGATGAACTGAAGCTAGGATAGAGCACAAGCAAATAAATAGCTTACTTGACTTTATTTTGTTCGTAGAGCTCTTACTGGACCCTTATGCTCTTATTTTCTTAAACAGTTGAAAAATCATGACAAGTGAAGATTCTTAAGCAATCACAAAATCATGACTCATTCAATCTGGCCAAAAAGCAAAAAAAAAAACTCGCCATACCTCAAGTTCGGAGCTTCATACCCTGCAAAACGTTTCAACCCAATAAAAGTAATTAAACTCTGGAATAAGCCATCCCACTGAAAATCAAATAAAGGAGCATTGCCAATTAGGATCCCACTAACCAAGGGTGTTGGGAAAGATGGAATATATAGACCCAACCTTTGGGATCCAAATCTTATCCATTATATCACCAGTGTATGGGCGAGAGGCTCCTAGTGGATTTCACTTGAATTCATAGTACATGATCTCCCCCACTCGAATTAATGGAGAGGTTTGATCAAAAAAAAAAAAAATTAATGGAGAGGATTCGTATTATTTGAGCAAGTGTGACTTGACAAAATATTCCAAAGAAACCACTTCTCCACCCCTCCC